GCATCTCGGAGAAAGCTATCCCAGAGACACAAAGCAAGTTCCTCTGTGAATGTTTGTGGAGCACTCCCACGTTCAGCCTCAGAGGCGGTATATGGAGCTGGGACGTCTGTGACCGAACGATGGACAGACTCACGTTTTACTTTGGAAAAAACTGTTACAGGCTGAACAAAACCCCAAAACACGAAGAACACCTTTTTCATCCTTGTGTTAAGTTTAGAAATGACAGAAACTTGAGCCTGAGGTTAGACATGATGGTAACGGCTCCGACATCCTTCCTGATCCACTCTGGATGTGTATGTGCAGCTGTAAGTGCTCCACTGTGCAACCTGTTGTTTTTTAAGTTGTTGAATACGAACATTACTTTGCACTCCTTTTTCCCAGAACAGAGTTTCTGAAATCTGCATTAAATTGCATTTTAATTTACTTTTGAATATTATTTGAAGCACTTAGATTGAAAGTTGAGCTAAAGCTTTAAATACAAAGATCAGCATCACTGAACTGTGAAATCCTTTGGCTGCAGTGCGTTGAAGTTTGAGCATGAACTTGCAGGAAGCTATAAACAGTTTTATTGATTACAAAATGGACCATATCGGATTCATATCTGTATCAGCAGATATCCAAATGTACGATGTCGTATCGGGCATAGAAAAGTGGTATGGCGCCATCTCTGGTGTGAACATGGATCAGGAACGGGTCACACTTGGTTTGTTGGTGAGGGACTGATCACAGGATCGAAACAGCTCACCGTCTCAGGGACGGCTCCGCCTCTTGGTCTTCACTGTCACGGGGCCGAGTGGCCTGTAACGAACAGGACTCAGGTGAGAGACGGCAGATGATGTAACAATTATTTATTAGGCTTGAGTGCAAGAAACGTAGCAAGAACAAAAGAACAATAAGACGTGGAGTCTGACGTGGCGTGGCCTGGGAAACGTGGCGAGGGAACGGGGCCTGAGATGCAGAGTGGAGCTGAGCAGGGAACAGTCACACTGAGGAGAGAAGGCAGTGGAGTTAGGGAGGTGGTGGAGGCAGCTCTGCAGTGGCCAGTTGTAAGTAGGGGACAGAGTGTTGAGAGGGGGGTGATGAGAATCCAGGGGAGGCTGAGTGGCGTGGAAAGGCTGGCCTGAGGTCCGGGGCTTCAGATGGAGTGTGATGGCAGGAGGGCAGGCAGGTGAGGCACACAGAGATTTTCAGAATGAATGAATCCTGAGTCCGGAGGTGGAGCGTGAGCCAAGCTGAATACAGCAAATGTGTTGATGACGAACTGGCAGCGAATGAACTTCAACATGTGGCTTAAATCCCTCTGGCTTGATTGCCTGCAATAGGCTCCAGGTGTGCAGGAGCTGGAGGAGTTGGCCCCGCCCAGGGGCGGATCCAGGTAAGTTCAGGAGCCTTATGGAAATTCCAGCCACCCACCGCAGACCATGACACTTCACGCCGTGTAAAAGGACTCGGCTCCACGTTACGGCAAGCCGGCGTCGCTGCCTCCTGATGTCAGTGTTTGGGTTGTGTCAGGCCTTTTTCTCCACGCGCTGCTCCTGAACACGTTTCTATTGCAGGTCTGATTTTAGTCGCAAATCTGGGTGAAACTTCCTGCTAATAACTGATCTAATGTCCCTACATATCAGCAGCAATATTTAAACCAACGTCAGTGTTGATTTTACAATAAATGTGTTGTTCACTAAACAAGTTGCTGCTCATGGCTTTGTGCCTGTTTGCAGCAGCTTGCTGAGCGTTTGTGTCTGAAGAAAGCAGCGCACATCATTACTGAGTGGGAGCCCAGCAGCCCCTTCAGGTGTCCACAGTGGGAAGCACGAAGAGTCTGACTGCAGTTTAATGTTAGCCCAGGTTTCATGTGTATTGCAGTGCAGGCATCTGCTGCCCAGCAAAGATGGGCGTGTGATGGAAACGCACAC